GCATACAGCTCTCAAAGGATCACCACATTCATACCACATTCAAAATTTTGGTTATCCTTAACATAAGGCTAGTAAGACTTAATTACATTATGGTTTGCTAAATTTGCCAAATTTCCTATACATAAATTACAGCAATTTCTTAAGACTATTGTTGTTGTTGTTAATTACGAAGTCGTGTCCGACCCATCCCGACCCCATGGACAACATTCCTCCAGGTCTTCCTGTCCTCTACCATCTTCTGGAGTCCATTTAAATTCACACCTACTGCTTCAGTGACTCCATCCAGCCATACTATCAATGCTGCTAACATCAGATGTTTTTGCTTTGACAACAGTTGGAGATGCAACCATTTTCTTCTTATGTTTTACTTTTAGAGTTAGAGTTAGATGATGCTGGAGGGAAGAATGTGCATGAGAGTTCAGCTAGACATAACAATACTCGACCTAGTGTGTGACCCTCTTATTGAAATAAGAGATGATAAGAATTGGCGGGCTGGAGATCTGGAGGGAAAGCCTGCATTTCAAACTAATTGGAGAATGTGATTTATGACTGTTAATTGAGGAGGGAATTATGTTTTGATACTATATGCTCAGGGGAGGGGAATCCAGTTTTTGGCTTCAACTATGTTAGTGCCGATGCTATGCTTTTCAAATAAAGATTGTTTAAGGTAAATAATGCCTTGAAGTTCTTTGAAGAGTTTCATCTGTCGGAACCATGACAGTTACAGTTAACAGTTATTAATTACTGCATAATCCAATGTTAATATTGACTTTAGTATTAACTAAACTTTCAATGGGGCATGATAGCTCAACAGTTAAAGACTCTGAGCTTGACAGCTGGAGAACTGACAGCCCAAGTTCAAGATCTAAGCTCTGCGCAACAGGATGAGCTCCCATTACTTGTCTCAGCTCCTGCACAACTAGCAGTTGCAAATGCAAGTAGATTAATTGGTACAATTTCAGTGGGAAGGTAACAATGTTCCATGTGCCTTTGGTTATAGTCATGCTAGTTACATGACCAAGGAAATTGTCTTCAGACAATGCTGGCTCCCTCGGCCAAGAAACGGAGATAAGCACCGAGCTCTAGAGTTGGACACAACTGACAGGGAAACCTTTACTTTTAAACTTTCAATTACTATAGTATTGCAGTATGCATATTTATTTAAATATATTTTGGAACCCTCTTAGCTAATTTTCTGATGTTTATAAGCCTTCCATTTTATCTACTTCGATATTTTTTTACTGTGCCTTTAAAATTAATACATTAATAAATCAGAGAAAGCAGGGGAGAATATTTCCAAAAGGGGCTTAACATCATTTCATCTGTAAAACACTATATTTGTGCTAGAGTGGAACACGAAGTGCTTAAGGTAGCTGGAATAGGTGCTTCAGGTATACAATGAAATCTTGATTTAAGGCAGGGGTAGGCAACCTTGGCTTTTATGACTCGTAGACTTCAACTCCCAGAATTCCTGAGGCAGCATGGCTGGCTCAGGAATTTTGGGAGTTGAAGTCCACGAGTCATAAAAGGTTGCCTACCCTGGGGATCACATTTCACAGACGATGGGTCCGCATTAGCTTACTATACTTGGTAATCTGCCTGCATAACATGGTCAAACCCTTTCAAGATTCCCCACTTTTGGGTGCTGCTGAAGAGTTTCCAAGCACTTTGTCAAGACTTTTGATTGAGAATAAATGCATTTCATACTTTCTGAAGCTGGATCCAGCAAATTAAGTTTGTCCATCAAACTAGAGTCTATAGATTTCCTCTGCAAAAAGGTTTTAAATTTTGTACCTAACTAGTTCCTCTTTGACATTCCCATTTGCTCAGTACAAGGCTGAAGTTACAAGGAACCGGCTCTATTTCTGTACAAATCTTAGCTCTGAAGTTTAAAGGAAGAGGGTGAAATAAAAGGCCAACTCAATGTTGCTTCTCTATATTGTGATATAAGAACATCTGCCCTTGCAGGCTGGGTAAACCATCTTTTGACAGTGAAAGAATCAGCTATGCTCCCCTATGAGAATGCCCCCCCCCCAAAAATCTTTAGAAACAAAGATTTAGTGCTCTGGAAAAATGCTGACCTATTTTTTAAAGCATGGATTTAGGTGTTTTTTTTTTAAAAAAAAGCTGTTATATATAGAGAAACTGGAAAAGAAAGACAAATTCTGCCATATGTATATTGTGAACTGATATGACCGGGTGTATGACCGGTTTCTGGAATTGAGTATGTCTAGTCTAGTCTAAAGAAGAGATGGATGAGGGGGACATGATAGCAGTGTTCCAATATCTCAGGGGCTACCACAAAGAAGAGGGAGTCTAGCTATTCTCCAAAGCACCTGAAGGCAGGACAAGAAGCAACGGATGGAAACTAATCAAGGAGAGAAGCAACCTAGAACTAAGGAGAAACTTCCTGACAGTTAGAACAATTAACCAGTGGAACAACCTGCCTCCAGAAGCTGTGAATGCTCCAACACTGGAAGTTTTTAAGAAGAGACTGGACAGCCATTTGTCTGAAATGGTATAGGGTTTCCTGCCTGAGCAGGGGGTTGGACTAGATGACCTCCAAGATCCCTTCCAACTTTATTATTATTATTATTATTATTATTATTATTATTATTATTATTATTATTATATTATTACTACTACTACTACTACTACAGCTTTTCTGCTGCTTCTGCTGAAAAGTTTTACATGGATTTGATTTTTTACTATTTTATTTCTTTTATGTTTCTCAGGACTCTTGCAAGAATGCTATTGCCTTGACAAAACAATGCTCTTGGCCATAGTTGTTTGTGTAATGCACCATGGTTACTTCTTATCCTCACTGTACAGTAGAACGTCACCTTTTAGTCCATTCTGTTTGTTCCAGCTTTGGAAGTGTTCCATATTAGAGTGATGACAGTTCTTATAGGCAGGCCACTCACAATTGCATGATTTCAGAAATCTCCTCTGGTACACGTGTTTTCCATAGCTCTTCCCTGGATTCTTCCAGTCATGAAATCAACTGGATCCCTTGCTCACTCATTGCCAGTACAGCCACTTTCCTGCAGTGCTCTTTGGAGATGGTATTTGTTTATAATAAATAATTTCCATCTATTTTACTTGATGTCCCTTTTAGGAGCCTGCCATTTGTTAATTGAGCAATTTGACAGATAGCTAAACTTTTTATTGTAAGCCCTCACACAAACTTTCCCACTCTATATTAGGGACAGTGATTGGTAGATGTTTTTCTACCAGCAAGAGTCACTTTCTGGAAGGGGGAAGCAAAGCAAAGGGAATCTATCAGTCCCTTTCTTTATGTGGCCTGCAGTAAATAAATAATAGCACCATTTGCTGACATTGTTACTGTAGCAGAATAGGATTCTACAGAATAGAAGAGGCCATTCTTTTGCTGGCTCAAGGACAGGTGTGAGAAGCTGTGAGAAACAGCCCTATTTCTATTTCATTTCCATCAACTTGATTGCGTTAGAAGCAGATAAGCGATTCCAAATATATCTTTTAGCTTTCCCTCTCTAATCGTGACAGAGAAAGCAATTTTAATGTGCAAGTAAAGATCTAATTTATCAGTCTGTGAAGTAGGCAGCTTTTCAAAATGAAAACACTACCTTGATAACTGGGTACTGGAACTGTCAATCAAAGAATGATTAACATATGGCTCCACATTTCTCTTTAAATTCTAGAGGGAAGTGAGGGGAAGAAAGAGGGATTTGGTGGACACATAGGTAGGACAGGTCTGAGAAGTCTGTAGCCTGAACCCAAGGAAAGTCTCCTATTATTATTGTGAACAGATAAAAGTGAAATACCTGACATATTCTTAAGAAGGGCATTTTCTTAGAGCAGGGGCGTCAAACTGCCAACCTGCGGGCTGGTTGCATCATACGGAGACCGCGCCCACCCAGCTCCGGCAATGCAAAAAAAGTCACGATACGTCACGACATGTCACGTGATGCGGCGAGCAAGATTTGAATTGTTAGATTCCATGGCTAAATATCGGTGCTTCTATCACCTGCCATATCATGAGAAATGCCTCAGTTATTGAAGATATTCTCATGGGTTTTTTTTTTTTTTTTACTGTCAACAGTATGTATCTCTTAGATTTACATATTTAACATCCCTCCTTGGAAAGACGGCCCACTGGGATCTGAATTGCAGACTGTCCTATATTTGCCTGGGCTTTAAGTTACACATTGCAGGCAGAACTGTTAAGTTTATAGTTAAGGCAGCTAAGTTAAAAACCCATTATATTGAACAGATCATGGTATCTTGTAAAGGTAATATATTTATCTGAATGCTGATTCTTTGTATTTACCACGTATATATTTTATTACTGTATTTTCTTTGGTACATTTTACCCTAGAATTAGATCTTGTATTTTATTTTATGATATAATCATAAAACTAATCAATTAATAAACTACCACTACCACTTTGAACAGATATTTATTGTTATATATTTTGTAGAACAATTAGGAGTCAACTTGCTATGAAAGTAAAGAGAGGTAAAACTAAATTATAAACTTAAAGGGAAAGCTTTTACAATTCTTTTTATAGAAGAATTGTTTTATTGTTTTACTTCAAAGCATGTTACCTTTTATACACATATAAGTATATACAAATGCAAATATGGATACATAAGAATGCACACATTATAAGCCTTAAAAAAATTCTAAATCAGGAAAGTATTTGGTGGTGATAGCAAAACCAATAGATGCTATAATGATCTCCCCAGATTATTGAAATTATGCTTTAATGCTAAAGCGCCAAAACAAAAAACACAAAAAATGAGGGCATCTACTACAATCAAAGTTTGCCACACAGCCACTTTTCTAAGAGCATTGCTTGAAGACAGGGCAATGCTATGTAAAAAAGCTTCAAAGTCTTATGACAGGCCTAGTGCTTGCATTCTTAAAGTTATATTCATTTGCAAAATTCTATAAAGAAATCAGCACATATATTCTCCATTATTAGATACCATAGAAAATATTAAATATATTTTCTTACCCACTACAATTGAGGATTCGCAATGATAGTAGCCATTAGGTTGCTTTTTTTTCAACATTGAGCAAAGATCCAGACGGTTCATAGGTTCATCTCCAAAATAATGACTTTTGAAATCAGCAAACATGCTTGGATCAATTCTTTTCACTCCCTTGTAATATCAAAGAAAAAGCAGTCAGAAGAAGAGAAAGTGAACATCATACAATGTGTATATATAAAACATTTCATAGAATAATCTAAAAATTTGAATCATTGTGTAGTACTAGTTTAGATCTAATTCAGTTTTAAAATAAAGTTGATTATTTCCTAACTAAAGACCTAATTTAGAAAACTAGTTACTAGAGCTGTATGAATATATTAAGCATTACATTTCACTACTATAGCTTAACCAATAAGATTAGCATCTTCTTATAGTAGCCTTCTGCCTGTCAAAGAAAAAGATCAACATTGCAGACTGAAACCCGCTATTGATTGCAAACACAATCTCTCATTATGTATATATACTCTGTTCATTAGTACAATTCTTTTAATTGTTAAACAATATAATTAGCAACTGTGGTTAACACGAGACTCAGAGCTGATCTCTGGAAGCTCCAGGCTTTGCTGTTATATTCTCAGCTGTTCCTGGCAGTTCAGCTCTATCATTCAGACAATGGCAAAAGTGACAGGATGCAGTATGGCTTCGTATTGTTTGAACTCTTCCTCTGGGTAGTTGTGCAGATCGAGCTATGCAGGCAGTAAATCCTTAGCTCTCTACCTATAGTCTACTGCTCTCTTGTAATGAACAATCAGTGCCAAAAGATTTGCAAATAAGGATTCCAATCAACTCTCCACCCCTCCAATAAAATAAACAAGAATTGGTGCCCAAGTTTGGGTTACTTTTTTCCTAATTCTTTACCTTTGTGTCATTTTTATGCATTTCTATGATGGAAATTAGCTCAATATTTTTGTTATTTCTTCTGCAATCTGATTTGAGGATATTTTCCGTAGAACTTACATATTTTTTTAATACATACATGCCAACACACACACACACACACACACACTTCAGGATGATGAGACGTGCACCTGCTTGCCCTGCCCACAAAGCACAGAATTTTGAAGCTGGCAAATCTGCCACTTTACTCTTTTCTCTTCTTTTCCTCAGGACTGTTAATAAAAAATATGGATAACAAAATACTTTTTTATTCTTCTCTTTTATCTCAATTTTCCCCTTTTCTCAGTTGTTTCCCTGTGTTTATTTCTGAATAGAAGCCCTTTGAGGTTTTCCAATATGGCATTTTGGATAGGATTCCAAAAATGTGTTAAGGATTGCAGAGAATTGTAAACTCAGCTCTTGGCCCCAGCTATTTAAAATAGTTGTCTTTCCAAGATCAAGCAGATGGCTTTCGTAACAGCTATACAATCTTGAGAAAAGGTGTGACCACTTTTACAAATTGCAGGCAGGTGCTGTACTCATGTTCTCATATACTTTATGTAACTGAATCTGAACACAACTTTTACAATCTACTGTAATTTTTTAAAAAAAAATAATTATGAAAATTACTGTCATTTGTGATAGGGAGGGACTTCTGCTATTCTATGTGAAAGTATCATATAAGTGAACAGAATAACAACCAACTGCATAACAGTAAATGTTACAATATCAATCTGTCATCTAGTACCTAAAGAAAGTATTGATTTAATAATTTGAAATGATTTCCTACTAAGCGATATAACATGTAGTCTCCTTCAAAATACAGGCATATCATATATGTAAATTGTATATAATATTTAAAATAAAATAGGCAGAAAAAAGAGTTATGATCAGCTTTAAATTTAGTTCACTCAAGGCACAAATGACCAGACTCAAAGTATCATATTTGGGGACATTACCTGGTTCTTTAGAAAAGTTTATTAGGTTGTGAAATATGATAGGAAAGAGAAGAGGAGGACAAGGTGCATGAACTCAATTATAACAGCAATGGGTGCAAGAAGAAGAACCAAAAAATCAGGTTAGGGGTATCTATCTATATATGGATGCTAAGAATCAAAACTGACTGAATAGCACAAAATCATCAATCATCATCTTTTTTTGCTTAAAGTTATCTATAAATAACTGTTGTTATAGCTTTTTTTTCTCCTAGCAATTATTTATTTTGAATAAAATTTCTTGCACAAGAAACAAGCAACACTCTCAAAAAACAATAAGAAGACATTAGAGATCTAATAGTAACTACTGTATGATAGATAGTTCTGTTTTAATTAATGCCTGAAATGTGGCTGACATCTAGTGGTGCATCATGTATGCTGCATATGAGCTGCTTCTTGATATCCCTAGCTCCTTTTAGTTCCATAGCAAGTATTTTTTAATCAATAATTATGGACAGAGGCTACTTTATCACCCGCACTATCACTACAATACATTGTAATAGCATACTACAATATTTGCATTCCATCAACTGACCAAGGGATTCAAATGAATGAAAAACAGGAGACAAACTAATCTTTCTAATGAGGTGATCCTTTGTGCTCTCCGAGTTTGGTTGTTTTCTTGCAGACGTTTCATTACCCAAACTAGGTAATATCATCAGTGCACTGAAATGTCTGCAAGAAAACAACCAAGCTCAGAGAGTACCAAAGGCCCCTCATTTCAACCCTGAATTACAAATATTCTCCTTTATTGGGAACTCCTCTAAATATGAAAAGCTGGTCCCTTTTCCTAATTTTAACAAGAGAACTTCCAAAACTGGAAAAAGCAGTCTCATCGTCCTTTGTGGATTGAACCTTCGCCGTTTTATGTCTAAGACATCTATATGAGCGACTGGTTTCCCACCCCACCTTTCTTTAACTCAGATGTTTCTGTGGAAAAGGAAGACCTTGTGTAAATGCCTTACTCCAAATAAGTTCCCAAGTTATTTCAAAAACTAAATTTCATTCATTTGGGGGAGCAGAAACATGTAAATTAGTCCTCTCCTGTCTGCCCTCAAGATGCAGGCAATGAAGCCATCTGAACTGAATTTTATTTTGATGTCATACCATGCTAAATGCTCCCTTTAGTCATGTTAGTCTCTTCATCCCTTGAGTCCTGTTAGTCTCTTCACCCATCTCAAAGCACTCCCCCCCCCCGCTAGGTGACAACCCTTCCCCCACTTTTGTTTTGACAATAGCAGAAGAGAGTCTGGAGAACACTGAGGAGCTGCAGTCTTGGGGGAGGGGACCCTCTCTGGAATGCTGAAAGTGAGAAAATACAGCAAGTATGAGAGAATTTATTTAGGAAAGAGAAATTATTTAGGGAGGATCTGAGGATTATCTGCATGTGTGTGCGTATGTGTGCATAATTGTGCTGTTCGCTATTGCTCATGCGCCTTGGGAATGGCGAGTTGGCCTTTTTTGATTGGAAGCAAGGGGGCTAGGGCTGAAGTCAAGGCCTAGGCCTCCATTTCAGGCCCATTCTGAGAGTTTCTGCCAAAGGCCGCTATTCAGAGTGGCCAACATTGGGGGAGGGGAGTAAAGAATTTCTCTTTTGGTCAGGATGGTGGTAGTGTGATACGCCAACAGAGTCAAGTTAGGCAATCTTACATTTTTCATATGCCAAGCCCAAAAGGTTTGCCATCACTGCCCTAGAGGCACTGTCAAAGGCAAGAAGTTCACTTTTTTTAAGACCAATACCCCTATCGTGGAATATTTATAAGCAAAGGATCATAAGACTTCAATGGATGATTAGAGGTGATGGGAAAATGTTTTACTTCTATGAGAAAGAATACAAAATAGACAAATTCAGAAAATAAATGTTATATCAAATGGGCTTTGATCGGAAAATATTAGCAAGGTATTTTTGCAACTGTATTGCAACAGCATACAGCGGAAACATGCTAGTGTATGTATCTTTGTGGATACTTGTATGTAAAATAAGGCTATGCATCAATCAGAAATTATTGAAAAAAGATACACTATACTGAGCACATAAGAATGCAAGCATGGCATCTCAGCAAAGGGGTTTTCATCTTTTCCAAATAATTTTCAAAGCACGCATAAGACTAAAATATAGTACATGCATATAAATGTAAGAAGAAAAAATAGTATGGATTTAGGAAATATTGATCAAGCCAGGTAACACCATTGGAATAATTAGAAAATACTATAAGTGGAAGTCCACTTTAGAAAGAGGACAGGTGGCAACACTGGCACAAAACCTCTTAATTCTTACGAGGGATAAAGATAAAGTGAAGGGGAGAATTAGAAGTGTTCTGCATGGAAAATATCTACTTACAATACTGAAAATGGTTTGTAGAGAGATGGGAAATAGATTAATACTGTCATGGTATCTTCATTAGCAGGATACTTGTGAGGGAACTGGTTAATGCAGAATCTGAGTACTTTAGGCTTGGAACCAGGAATGCATTGGGGATTTTGTTATGTACTATTCATTGATTTTATTTTAGATGTCATTTTCAAGTTTTAGAAACATCTGGGCTTATTGTACTGGGTGACTTCAATATCCACTTTGGAGCTGGTTTGTCTGGGGTAGTTCAGGAGTATAGAGTATCCTGTCACAACAGGGCAGTGGATCAATATAATGCAGCTTCCATGGTTAATTTGATGTTTTGTTCTAATCAGGAGGCTGTTCTGACAGTGGAATTATGGAGTTATGAATAGACTGCTATCTGGTTAAAGTTGGATTAATGGCTACACATCATCTTTGTGGGGACCCTGGATCTCCCAAAAAACTACTGGACAGATGACTTGGCAAGGTATTTTTTTATTATATGTCCTTCTGATCTTTGTTATTTCAACCTAGGAAGTTATTCAAGAAGATTTATTCAGTTCTGTAAATTTCTGAATAAATAAATATAATATAAATAAACATACTACATTGTTTAAAGGAGTCAATTATTAGATATCTTAAGCACAATGGATCCCTTAGAGATATTTCTCAGGCAGATATTCATTGCTCCAATCTATCTCCAACCTTTTTCAATATTTACATGGAATGTCTGGTGTGGCATCATCAGGAGATACAGAATTGGGTGTTCTCAGTCTGAGAACAACTTCAGGTTCCCCTATATGTCTGCCTGTAGTCAATAATAAATTGTATGAAATCAAATGAAGACAAAATGGAAATGCTTACTGCGACTGGTATAATGGAGAGGCATCTATTATTTAATTTTGTATATTTAATTCTGTATACAAAAGCCATAATATAATCCCAATCATGCAGAAGAATGACTGTTCCTTAGCTCAAATTTAATTTGATTCATCTGTTGCTCTCCAGAATTAATATTTCTATAAAAGGAAAATATCTGTATATTTACATAAACATTTGGTCCTACATATGTATTGTGCACAGTATTTCTATTTTGACTTTCTACTTCAAAGATTCCAAATATCAGCATTCTCACCTTAAAAAAGAATACTTCCGGGAAGAATATGTACTTTCAGCATTGACTCCAAAAGTGCAAAAATTGGGCTCTATTGCATTCGTTTCTTATCTAACAATATTACTATAACTTCCTTTAAAATATATATAGAAAGATTGTTGACCTGGTGTATGCTGCATTTAACTTAAACCCGGATTCAGGGAATAAATTAATCTTAAGGGTCGATGGGGCCCTCAGAATGTCCACGTGTATCAGTTAATCATATTGTATTAATTAGACTTTGTCCTGGTCCATTCACTCTTTTACCCTGGGCCCTTTTACTCTTTGATATATGGCTTATAGCTTAAAAAGATTATATAATCCTCATTTTGCATACATGTTCCATAAAGGCCATTAATACAATATTGTATATCCAATTACATAGATGCGTGAACTTCTTTGAAGCCAAGGAAAATGAGTACTACTGCTACTTTTTCCAACCAGTGCCCATTCCAACCTCAGCATATCACTGAAGAAGATGAAGAAGGGCCATCTGAAATCTACTTGTGTGTTTTGTGGTATGGAGGTGAGCTGGGAATTGTTTACTATGACACTGGAGACTGCTCTGTATATTTCATGCCTGACACACCTGACAACGAAGACCTCAAACTGCTTCAGAGGGTGGTAGATGAGATCTCTCCCAAATATATATTGAGTAGTGCCAAACAAGATTCTAATATTGCCAAATTTCTGACCAATATAGGTACCACTGAGGGAGAAAAGCCAGAAGGAGGAAAAGTAGAGGTTGTCCTCTATCCAAATATGGATTTTGGTTTGGAAGTAAGCAAACAAAGGATTCTATCTAGGCAATTCCCTTTTGTCCCATCTCACGTGACAGCAACAGACAAAATTCTTTATTTGTCCTCTATTTTACCTTTTGAGAGCCCTCTTGTACTAAGAGCATTAGGAGGTCTGCTAAAATTCCTTGACAGGAGAAGACCTGGAGTTGAACTAGAAGACAGTCATGTTGTTGTTCCCATCTTGGCCTTTAAAAAGTTTGTATTGACAGATACTGTAAATGTGGATCAAGACACTTACTGCGTACTGCAGATTTTTAAAAGCGAAGTACATCCTTCTGTGTATAAGCAGGCCACTGGGAAGAAAGAAGGACTGAGCTTATATGGGATTCTGAACCACTGTAGGTGTAAGTGGGGAGAGAAACTGATGAGACTGTGGCTCATGAGGCCCACCAGCAACTTTATAGAGCTTAATAAGCGACTGGATGTTATCCAATTCTTTCTGTTAGCTCAGAACCATGAAACAATTCTGACCCTACAGGAATGCCTCAAAAATATAAAAAATGTACCTCTGATTCTTAAGAGGATGGCTCTTTCCAACACAAAGGTAAGCGACTGGCAGGCACTTTACAAAACTGTTTACAGTGCTGTGTGCCTAAGAGATAAATGTCGCTCTCTGCCAAGCACCATTGAGCTTTTCCAGACAATTTCTCATATTTTCACTGATGATCTGCACTATATAGCCAGCCTAATTAGCAAAGTGGTAGATTTTGAAAGCAGCATCTCGGAAAACCACTTCATTGTCAGACCAAATGTGGACCCCATAATTGATGAGAAGAAACGAAAGCTAGTGGGGCTTTCAGACTTCCTTACAGAGGTAGCTCGCAAAGAATTAGAGGACCTGGATAACAGAATTCCATCCTGCAGTGTTATTTATATTCCTTTAATAGGGTTCTTACTCTCTATTCCACGGCTGCCCACAATGGTGGGCAAGACTGACTTTGAGATTGAAGGTCTAGATTTTATGTTCTTATCAGAAGAAAAGCTGCATTACCGCAGTGCCAGGACCAAGGAACTAGATAGTTTGCTTGGTGACCTTCACTGTGAAATACGAGATCAGGAAACATTAATCATGTACCAGCTACAGTCTAAAATCCTGGAAAAATCTGCAGTACTTAGTGATGTGATTGAATATACAGCGCATTTAGATGTGCTATTATCTATGGCAGTAATGGCTCGAGAGAACGGATATACCAGACCCAGCTTCTCTCATTCTCATATTATTCACATAAAAGATGGAAGGCACCCTCTGATGGAGTTATGTGCAAAAACTTTTGTGCCTAATTCAGTGCACAGCAGCGAAACATATGGACGGATTAAGCTCCTTACTGGGCCTAATTCATCTGGTAAAAGTGTTTATCTAAAACAAGTAGGTCTTATTACATTTATGGCTCTAATTGGCAGTTACGTCCCTGCTACTAAAGCTGAAATAGGACCTATAGATGGAATTTATACAAGGATCCACAGCAGAGAATCAGTATCTCTTGGACTGTCCACTTTCATGATTGATCTTAACCAGATAGCCAAAGCAGTGAATAATGCCACTGAAAACTCTTTGGTATTAATTGATGAGTTTGGCAAAGGCACAAATACTATCGATGGCCTCTCTCTTTTGGCTGCTCTTCTAAGGCATTGGATTGCACAGGTGAACCACTGCCCGCACCTTTTTGTTGCCACTAATTTCCATAGCCTGATGCAACTGAAGCTCTTGCCCCACACTCCTCTTGTGCAATATCTGACCATGGATACCCATCAAGATGGAGATGAGCTTGTATTTTTCTATCAGATTAAAGAAGGCATGTCCACTGTCAGCCATGCCGCCAATATTGCAGCTCTGGCTGGCCTGCCCTCCAAAATTATTGACAGAGGAGTTGAAGTATCAGAACTGTTTCGCAATGGGAAACCTATCCCACGTACTGACCATCCCTCAAAAGATAAACAGATGCAAAATTGCAAATCTCTGGTGGATAAATTCCTCTCCCTAGATCTTGATAATTCCCAAGTGGATTTAAAGGAGTTTTTGATTCAAGAGGTGCTACCTTCTTCAGCTTCCATACTGTAACCTATTAACGTAGAGTGATTTGAATAGAGAGCATATAAATAACTGCAATACAAATAATATATGACTGAACTATGTAGTTTAGGGTATACTGAATTGTTACAAAGTAGGAAATACATCAGAAAGAAATGCCACATTGCTTCAGACAAAAAGCCTGAAAAATTAATAATCTAGCAAAGTGAGCTTCACCCATCAGGTGTTAAATATGTTTTACCTGTTGCTTGTCACATCCAACTAGCATATCCCATTCTGTCATATATGGGAGATGACAAAACTATGATCCTGATCCTGCAAACCACCATGCAGCTATTGTTATATTTGATGAACTATTAATGTATATTTGTGAATAAAGTATAACTGAAATTAAATTTAGAAGGTTATTTATAGATTTCCGTGTTTTTTTGTAAACATAATTGTCAACAACATGATATTTAAACACACAAGTGGACTATGTTCAGGTTATTTACTAACTTTTTTCCCACTGATAATTTCTAAATTGGTGTTATGTGCATTAGATATGTCGATAACATAAAAATAGTCCAGAAAATTTACAGTGCAAAAACATTTAAAAACAAAGAAATTTGTATTAATATTCCTTTTTTAACAGTAGATTTTTCTTTGCTTTGTTGTCTATCTTAAATGTTTTTGTATGCTGATATTCTAAAAAATAAAATCTACAAAGCTTCATCTTGATATTATTTTTAAATGTCCCGGTTTCTTTAGCTTTACAATAGAACTCTTTAATTCAGAACATTCAGGTATTTTGCATACTGAAAAAAATGCCTTTATTACTGGTTACTAAAATACAGTTATAATACATGAAAAATTGAATTAGTTCAGGCACAACCATAGATGGCAGTATATGATCAAGACTAGAAGATTATATTTCTCTCTTTCTCTCTCTTCTTAGTTTGCTTTTGCACTCACAGTAGGAACCTATGGCTTCCATATACATTTAAACCCATACTATTCTTAAATCTTTCATTATGGCTGACATTCGATCAAGAGTGAGATACCCATCCTGTTTAGATGAGAATACAAAATCATACATGAACTTGTTATAATTACTAAACTGGTTTCATTATTCATTTTGAACACTTGCTAGTAATGAGATAACTATCATCCTGTAAAATGGAGCCGTATCTCTTTATTAAATTTCTTGATACATAGTGAAAAAAGAAAATGTGATAAGAATACAGTAAAACTAGAAGTATTCAGAAGAAAGAGGAAGCTCAAATCATTTATATGATAACAAACACATTTGCTAATAATCTTATTGTTCTTACTGTATCTTTTTCTGAATTCAAATTTTCAACTATCTTATTCATAATCTGGGAAAAATAATAAATATATTTCTAAAAATACAAATGTCTTAATTCTGCTTTCATGCTTTTTTAAAATATATTTTTCTTAATCTTATCTGCAAGCATCTTTACAATGGCTAGACTTAAAAGTTGTATTATTTTCATTATTACTCAAGGGCTTCAGGACTATGTACATTTACTTTGGGAATAAATGTGAGGTTCACTTCTAAGTGGACAGGCAAAAGGTTATACTACCAATAGTGTCTGCTTTTAACTCAAATTAAAATTAATACAAACAAAAACTACATTTATGTCAGTATGTGTATATATCATTCTAATGTCTTATAAATCAGGACAATTTACACTTTCTGTTTCCCAGATTCTCCATTATAAAATGAATGCAATTAATAATGGCATCAAGGCTTACTTTCATTTAATAAAAAGTACTATATTTATTACAGCCCAGATAAGTGCTTGGACCCAATATTTCCTTACAGTCTTTAAAAAAAACCTATGAGTTGGGAATTATTACTAAAAAGCATGAAAATTGCAAAGGAAAATATAATTTGTAAAAATGCCCTGTCCCTTAAATTAATCTTTCTTTTCTTTATTTAAGAGAACTGTACAAGCTGAAGTTAATAGTTTTTGTATATAATTGTTTTTAAATAATCTCAGATATATAATTATGCTGTCTGTAGGATTAGATTTCAACTGTGAAATAATATCTATAGGATTTCCTGATAACAGACTTAATACTAGTTTACCTGTCACTCAGCTACAGCTACTCGGTTAAAATGTAAAATCATACAACAATAATTTGTGGAGAATCTAATCTTTGCAATGCAAACTGCCCAATTGTGATAACTTCACCTGCTTTTGTAGTTTTGGGGATTTTGACAACTTCATGAAGGTCAAGTGAGGCTTTAAAACTTTGTCATCTATGATGATACCTTTTTCTTGAAATATCTTCTTCACAATTTCTAGGATTAAAAAAATAGAAGTACTTAGAGGTAAATCAGAGAATGAGAAATATCTGTTTCATGAAAAAAAAGAATCCACTGAAAAGAGGGAAGAACACTTTAATTTATTTCTAAATTTGCTACAACTGAACCATATAATTTTACACATGTAACATTAATTGCATAAAATTATGGTGCAGAATATTTCTTGGAGAAAGCAGGAATCCTACCTCCAACATGGCTGTATAGTGATACACAAGGGTTGCCTTATTCTGAGATCACTCTCACACTTAATTTTGCTATTACTGCGATGTGTGAAAGCAAACTGTCAGCTCAAATTTGCTTCAGGCGTGTTAATGCTAAATCACTTTGTGTCTGAAACTTAAATATATTTGGCAAGTCAGTAGTACAGCAAACATTATTGTGACTTTTACAAAAGTATGATCAGGCAGCAGAACTATTTTTAATCTACTGCAATGATTTTTTTTATGTCTTAGACAGATGTCAAGAGTTTGAATTTTTTTTCATAATAACATATTTAAAATAAGGAAAGGGAATTGTAGAACCACAGAGCTGGAAGGTCCACTGAGTCCACATCCTGCTCGGTGCAGGAATGTAAATCAAAGCATTCTGAACACACTGCTGCTCTTGCTTCCACTTGAGGGACCAACTACCTTCAAGGGGCTCTTGGTGATTTTTTTTTTCCCCTATTGAATTGGATTCTGCCTTCCTGTTACTTAAATCTATTATTCTGAATCTTGCACTCTAAAGAGAACAAGGATTGCTCAAGTATTCAAGTATTTGAAGAACACTATCAGTTATCTTTTCTCAGAGTCCTGTTTCTCCAATGTCTCTTCTTAGGAATTCATTTCTAGCTCCACGATCATTATTTGAGCCGAGGTGGCGCAGCAGTTAGAGTGCAGTACTGCAGGCCACTTTAGCTGACTGTGTTCAGCAGGTCAGCGGTTCAAATCTCACCGGCTCAAGGTTGACTCAGCCTTCCATCCTTCCGGGGTAGGTAAAATGAGGACCCAGATTGTTGGGGGCAATGTAAATATATATATACATTGCTTACTGGTGTACATCGCTTAGAGAGTGCTTGCACTTAAAGCGGTATATAAGTCTCATAAATAAATAAATAAATTTTCTGAATCTTTTCAGTTTTCCTCAACCTGCCCTCAACCATGTGTCCAGAACTGAACACAACACTCAAGATGGGGTTTTGACCAAGCAGAATGGTTACTACTTATCATGTAGAAATTATACTTCTATTGATGTGATATAAAAAGTGTGTTTGTCATCTTTCAATACATCAGTTGGTTTATATTTAGTTTGCAATCGCTCACTGCTGTAATATCTTTTTCCAATGTACTGTTACCAAATCAAGTATTCTATAGCTGTACCTTTGATTTTTATTATCGAAGAACTTTGCATCTGTCACTTTCAATTTTCACTCTGTATGTTTGATTTGAATTTCATTTCTGTCTTCTGGTATATTAGCTGTCACATTCAATTTTCTATCGTCTGCAAAGCGATAAGCATTCCTCCACTGCACCCAAATCATTAATTAAAACACTGAAAAATAGAAGACTGAACCAAGCAACACTGTCTCCAATCTGATGAGGAACCACTGACAAGAACCTGATGAGTATGATTTTCAAGCCAATTATAAATCCACCTAATAATCATGCCATCCAGCCCACATACCTAATAGCTTTTTAATCAATATGTTATGGAGTTCTTTGTCAAATGCCTTTCTGCAGTTAAGGTACAGCTTGTCTACAGTAATCCCATAATCTATGAAGGAAGTTACTGCAGCAGAACTATTTTTATGACATAATGACATAAAATTAGTCTGGCCAGATTTGTTCTTGACAAATGCATGCCAATATCCAGCAACTGTAAATTGTTTTCAAGATATGTACAGATCAATCTTTTTAAAACTGCTATAGAATTTTCATAGGTGTTGCTATGATGCCGATTGCTAGTTTCTTGGATTTTTTTCTCAATTTTTGAAAATAGGAATATTTGCCCCCCCTCCCCTTCATTCATGAGGCAGTTCAGATTTCCAGAGTGCCTCAAAATCTAATACACAAAGTTTCATCAAGACTATTAGCTAATTCCTTCAATACTCTAAGATGCAATTAATCTGGCCCTGGATACTGAAATAGGTTTTCCTTAATATGGTTCTTTCAATTCATTCATCCTGCCCTTCACATTTTGCTATGAAACGCATTGATTTTTGTTGGAGAAAATTGGACCAAAATAGGAGCTAAGTAACTCTGCATTTTTTTTTTGTTTACCTTCTTCATTGAGCAGCTGGTATACTAGTTTTTAATTTTCCTTTGTTAATAATATAATATGGTCATAGATCAGAAAAATGTTCTCTTTGAATTTTTAAAACAAGCTAGTTATTTGATCAAAGGTTTATATTAAACTTTAAATGTTAATATCAAAGACTTATTGGAATTTTTCAGTATCTCCTTCTGACATTCATTTCCCATTTTAATTTCCTGTGCTTTATTTTCATGCAAAGAAACCTTTGATATTTACAGTTGTTAACACAGCTGGATTCAGATTTCATACCTCAGTAACCTCTCACAGACATGCCTTCTTATTTTTCTCTTTGAACTAGAAACTTCAGTAGGCCTGTTGAGAGATTCTAGGTAAGTTGGGAATTCCCAGAACTGAGTTCTATCTGTTCTATCTCATGTCTTCACGAGCCCATTTCTTCATTCAGCTAAATATTTACTTATGGACCTATTTAATAGCAATAGCACTTAGGCTTATATACCACCTCAAAGTGCTTTACAGCCCTCTCTAAGCAGTTTATAGAATCAGCACATTACCCCCAACAATTTGGGTCCTCATTTTACTGATCTCAGAAAGATGGAAGGCTGAGTCAACTTTGAGCTGATCAGGATCAAACTACTGGCAGTTGGCAGAATTAGTCTGCAAATAATGCATTCTAACCACTGCACCACCATGGATAAGAGAGAAAACTATTTTTGTCACGGTTGTTCCAGTTTTTAAACATTTCTAGAATTAGAAATATAAATCTGCAACAAACCTTCAAATAATCTACAGGTAGTCCTGGTTTAGTTCCACAACTGAGACCAGCAACCTGATCCTAAAGGAAATGACCACTAAGTGAAACCACAATTCTATTTATAATCTTACTTCAGCTTTCCTTTGCTTTACAGACCTGTGAAGCTTATAAATGTAACAATTCATTGCAAAGTTATATTTTCATCTTTGTTGTAAACAGTTGCTAGATGAGGCAATTGCTAAATGAAGACTACCTGTATTTTCTGTCAAAAAAACCCTAAGATTTATGTTGAAAGGCAGAATGACACCAGAACTATAGTTAGCAATTATAGCCTCACAAATGTGGCAGAAATGAAGGTGTAGCACTAAACAAAATTTGCTCAAGATTGAAAAAGGAAAATTACTTACCTACTGAACCTGAAATACTTTATGGTGGAAATTACATTTTTTAAAAAAACTTTAATAAATCTAGAAAGATTATAGAAATGATCAGAAAAACAACTACCTAGAAGTAATAGCACAATAATAAAAAATCTTTCTGCAATCAGTACCATCAAAGCATATCAATGTTGAAAAAAGAATTGCTCATTTTTGGTTTTCACACTCAAAAAAACCTTTGAAGGTCATATGAAAGTCAGTACTTTTCAAATGATATTTTAACTGCTTGTTTACGAAAGTAGAACATTAATCTAAAACAACTTGTTCAATGCTGATTTCAGTCTTCTGCAATGTGCAGTATTGGGGGTTCACTGACCATCTTTTAGGACAGGGCTTTTCAACCTGTGGTACATTGGCACCTGGCAGGTGGTACGCGACCATCCTAGAAAAGTGGTAGTGGGGGAGGGGAATGAGCTGAACCGATGGCAGCACCGCACAAGCCTGAGCGAGAGATGGCTGGAGCTGCAGGGCTGTCAGGGCTCAGCGGAAGTGCCAGGTTTAGCACCAGGCTCCAGCTGGAGCTTGGCGCTGATCCCGGTGCTTCTGCTGAGCCCAGAAGAAGCACCGATCAGCTGGAATGTTGCAGCATCTCCAGGGTCTTGTGATTTACATTCAGATGCTTGGCAACTGATTCATATTTATGATGGTCACAGTGTCCCAGGGTCATGTGAAGTGACCAAAACCTGCTGCAACCACCCAGTAGATGTGGGGAATAAAAACCAAACATCCCCCACCCCACCACCACTGCCAATCCTCCACAGAAATGCTCACAACAATGAAAACCTCAGACCAGAAGAAAAAGCACCATCGGGTGGGCAGGCAGGTGTCTTGCTCGGCTGTGGCTTGGGGGGCACTGTAACTTCAAACAATACTAAGCGAACTGTTGTAAGTCAAGGACTACCTGTACTTTATCACTTTTTTCCTTTTTTTTTTTTTTGGTCATCAAGTTTTTGACACCTTGCTAGGCGACTGGTGGTACTCAGATATTGCCATATCCTAACAGTGGTACAATGGGTGAAAAGGTTGAAAAGCCCTGTTCTAGGATACTTCTGAGTTCATTCAGGTCCAGCAGATTTGAACTGTACCTTGTGTAAAGTGATAATATCTGTTGTGCCCCAGAACCTCCTACAACAGGCAGGATTGGGTTGTAAACGCATATAAATGCATTGTTAATGAAAATGATAACCGGCCGTGACGTTTTATGCAAAATTTTCAAACAAGGAAGCAATGAAATAGGGAAAATAAAATATGACAGAGAGAAAGGAAGATTATTTGCACTCTATTTTACTTCTAGCTCTACCTCTTGCTAGTTTCAATCTTACTCATGCTAGAAAAGTGTGGGTTGTGGAAGAAAAAAAAAGATTCCTTACCCACTTAATATAATGATTAATTTGTTTGACTTATCTGGAAATCAGACAAATTCTAGAATGATTATCTCACGTTAGAAAAAGGGGCAAAAAGCTGAGGAACAATGATTTGCTTGGCAGAAATTTGGGGTTTAATTTGGGATTCAAGAGGAACTTGGATTACTTAAT